GTAGGGTCCTCAATAGCTAGAAAAGGTCTTTGGGGGTTCCTTACTATAACTATGGTATCAACCCTAAACCCTAAACCCTATACCCCAAACCCTATTCTAATTATTAAGGCCCCTATATGTTATGAGCGCGACTTCGGTCACTGGCCACATCCGGAAAAAAAGGCCCCTACATGATTATGGATCTAGCCACGGGGTTTGGAGACCACAGGGCTTCAAGTGCCTGGAGGCATCTTGAAGCCAAGGCCCCGAAGAAAAGCCTTAGGGTGCAAGGTTCTTGGGGTTTAGGGCTCAAGGGGTTCAAGGTTTAGGGCTTCAGGGTTTAGGCTACTGGCCCGGCTTTGCAGCTTTGGGCGGAGAGAACATCCTAGAGCTCGCCCTTCAAGAAGAAGATCCATGGCGTGGACACCTGGAGCTGCCGGAAAGACAGAGCCCTAAATACTACAGGGGCCTTAATGATTAGAATAGGGTTTTGGTGCCTTTGATAGTATAATTAAAATAAGGAACCCCCAACATAGTAGTGGCAATTATTTAGGCCCCTATATTACACCCTAAACCCTTGAACCCCTAAACGCCCAAACCCCTAAAGCCCCAAACCCTAAATCCCTGAACACCCAACCACGGAACAACACGGGATTCAATTCATGATGAGCCAGGCTCGGAGGGTATGAGGGCTTCAGGTGTAGAGCTTTTTTTCTCCTACAGTTGGGTTTAGGGTTTAGGGCATCAGGGTTTCAGGTGTAGAGATTCAGGGCGGCAAGTCTTTGCATTCCATGCAAGCGAGGGGTTGGGTTTCGGATCGATGTCTCGGTTCACAGTATGCAGGAGCTAGGGATGACATCCTAAACCCTGGGCCCTAAAGCGGGCGAAGACTCAAGACAGGTTCATGTAGGGGCCTAAATAATTACCCCTACTATCTTGGGGGCTCCTTATCATACTTATAGTATAATGGGCCCCAAAACCCTATTTTATTTCTTAAGGCCCCGATATCAGGTTCTAGCCCTCGAGCCTGGCTCGGAATTCGACCCCGGAACGCTGAAGCAGCGCCCTTTGCAGGGTGTCTCATAGAGGAGCTAGGATTAGGGGGACCGTTGGGGATATAGACCCTCTCATTAAGGTCCCTTTTGAGAGAGCCATGACTAGGGTTCAGAAGGGTCCCCTTTAAGGGCTCTCCCTAATAGTACCTGCAGATCATTATCCTTCGAGATTCTTGCTTGAAAATTCGCGCTGCCTTGTCGCAGGAGATGATGAGACGACCGCCTTGCGGCCTGGTTTGACAGGGTCGAGATTGGAACAACCAAGGGTTTAGAGTTTAGGGGTTTATGGTTTATAGGGTTTAGGGTTTTAGTGTTTTGGGTTTAGGGTGTAGGGTTTAGGGGTTTAGGATTTAGGGGTTTAGGGTTTTGGGTCAGGTTCGTTTAAGGAGCAGGTTTTGCCAATCAGTCTTCGGCAAAAGGGCATTCTGGTCTTCCGGGCTTTTGGGGCGTATGCATGATGTTGGGATCTTGAGGGTGAGTCCGCCCTTTTAAGCCTCCTCTGCTATGAAGAAGCGAAGGGCACTTAGAGGACGCGTAGCACCCCAGGCCCTTTTCTCCAACTGTGCTGCAATCTTATGGGCTGGCCTCCCTTTGCACGCACATCCCAAAGATCACCAATGTTATTTCCTCTTGTCCAAAAATATTCATTTAGCTTCTGCACTCATATTGTGCTGGTTACCCGATGTCGTTTTCTGGGGGGAGTCAGGGCATGATCAGAGGAACTTGGAGAAATTACATTTCTTGCATCCCAACTTTTACCAGACCTGCTAAAACTCGCTACCTGGCCTCCTTTTCTGAGAATCGTTGTCGCATATCGTTCCGTTTTGTCCGTGTTCCTGTCCGTTCCCGGGGTTGCGGGGGCACCGCCGCGCCCGTAACTGCAAACCTCAACGCCCCAAGTGCTTGCCAGCAAAACCCTAAACCCTAAACCCCTAAAACACCTGAGCCTGTAACCCAAACGCCTGGACTCTAGCTGAAGCCCCCAACCCTAATCCAAAACCCACAGACTCCAAAAACCTCGCGGTTAGCATTACATCTTAACTTACAAGGAGGGGGATTCCCAATACGATCTCAGGTATGTTCAATGAAGTGGTTTTAGAGTGTCTGGGAAAGCGCAACACCCCCAAACGCACGGAGGCCTGTCGGATTTGAAGTTTATGGAGATCTGCACAGTCTTCTGTGGGTCGATCCTGTCGTTTCAGCTTCGGTCCGTTCATAGGACGTTTTGTAATCAGGTGCGTGTCTTTAGTATGAGGCTTTGTTCTGAAAGCTTTTAGACAATGGGGCGTTTGTGGGGTCAAGGGGGGACCCACCAGTATCCGTGATGCTGAGACCAAGACTTAAATTAAGACAAGTTCTGATAGTACTAGCAGTAGAACGAGTAGTAATACAAACCATGAATGACATGACAAGCACTTCAGTAAACAGAGTATTCGTATTCATACTGTTGTAACTACTCATCTTAAGTTACTATTCATGTAAACATCTATACTAAAGTTGCTTGTGATTCTTGTACTCAGCACTTGGACCTAGATCCTAAACCTTAAGAGTTGTAAAACGCAACCTTATACAGCCCTGGCAGTAATCCGTATGGGGCCCTTACAGCAGCCATTATCGTCTAAACGTACCCCGAACTCCAGACGGTCCTCTGTGCCCTCATCGGCACAACGAAGCATGGGTTGTCAACCTGCAGATATGTGGAAGATTCTTGGAATCTTGGAATTAGGACAGTTTAGGCTTGAGGGTTGAAGCCTTTCACATCGTGAAACTACTATTGGTGAGGGGGGTGGGCGGTTAGGGTTTAGGTTTGAGGGAAAAAGGGTCCTGATACTCTGTTGGGGGTCCCGGGGATCCGCTTGCTAAAACGACCTTCATGTGCCATACTGCCGTAATGCTTCTATCTGCAACACTATAACTCTTACCACCAATACCTGCAAGCTCCCAAATCTTATAACCAAAGCCCTAAACCGAGGTTTGCAGGGGAGAGGTTCGGCCCCAAGTGCCACTTTGAATCATGGTCCGGTGAGGTCTGTAGGCATGCTCGGGTTTGCGACATACGACTGTTGAAGGCAGGTGAAGGACATAGCTGCTACGTGCCCAGCGTCGTCGCAACGTTGGTTGCCCCATGTTGGTGATTCCCTTAACTAGGGTGCCTGTTTGCGTTCCCAGCAAAACGTAGTTATGTCACTCTGTGAAGGGTCTCTAGGGATTGCCGGCCTGGAGAGAAAAGTCCGTCGGCTTGTCGAATGGGTTGCGGAACTCCACCACACCCTGCCGGCAAAAGCTGTTTTCGTAGTATGGGGGGTGGGGGACCTGAATGATCCGAATAGGTCCGGGGAGGGTCTTGGTGTTGCCAATCTCTCTTCTGCCTGCCGATCAGGTCAGCGCCAAGGGTAATGCACTACCCGAGGTCTTCGAAGCAAGTGTCACGACAGCCAGTATAGGCAAGGTGCCAGTACTCAACAAGTATACACCTGAGCTTGATGCATCATGTTAGCCCGAGCATTGGTGCACTACTCATATGCTGGTTGTTCCGGCTATGCTGCTACTGCTAAGCATGATCCACAACTGCAGCTTGATACCCCTAGCTTCGGGCACTCAAGGCGATGCAGGCCTTTGCCAATCAGCAGGGCTCCGACTCGGAACGTTGCCGGTCATGAATATGAATGCTATTTCGACCCCGGGTGCTCGCCTCAGGATCATGTAGAGGCCGAAATTACAAGAAGTTTGGGGGTTTATGCTGCTCTATGGACGGACAAGAAGGGAACAGTAAGCTAACAGCTGACGCCTTGGTAAACGACAAGCGCTGCACTGTTCACCCCTAAACTCTAAACCCGCCAAACCCCAAAGTTTCCGAACCTTAAACCCAAATGACAACAAACCCCGAACGCCCCGAAGCCACAAGTCAAAAAGGAGCACCTGTCAACACCGCAAACCCACAAGCAGGAGCGATCCGAGAACTGCATAGTTGCCTTAAGAGAACGGGCCCCTGAACAGAAACAAAAAGAGAAAAGAGCCTGCTTGCCGTTCATGATGGTGATGGGGCCCTGCACATGCTCCACATCAGGCTTAGGCTTCAAGGTTTTTTAAGTCTTTGGGCGCAGGTTTCACGATTTCGTCACGCATTGCAGCAAAGAACGCGCTACATGCCAAACTCGCAAAGGACGAGTAATCGAACGGAGCCCTGTGCAGTTCCAGGCAACCTTCTGATGCTACCCTGTACTTACTGCTCTTCGAGGGTGCTTAGGGTTCCTTCCAAAGCCTGTTCTTAAGCTGCCACAGCATGCCCTCTATGCTGTCGAACCCACTGCTGCTCAAACTCGAATCCCGACATGTTCCAAAACTCCGCAACAACTCAGCAACAAACAACACCACAGCCACCACCGCCGACGAAAGCATGCCGTTGTACCTAGTGATTTGCGGACATGCAGGTCGGTTCAGTACTCGTAGCGACACTGGCGGCAGGAACTGCAACCATCGTGCATAATGTCAGTTCGAATTGCTCAGCCTGGCAGGCGTTCCTGTTCTCACCATGGTCATCACGAGCGCATAGCCAGCATCATCACCAGCAACACCACCATGATGATTGACATTTTTGGTCCTGCAACTACTGTCTGTCTTCGCAGGTGAACTTCACGAACAAAGCCGCCTTTGCTTGTGTTTCTTATTTAATCATCCGTCTCACAGCTTGCATTTCCAGTTGCAAGCGTGCCGGTTCTTCTTTGCATAACTGATGCTGCCACTGCTGCCCTTGATCGACTTCCTTGTTATGATGGTTATGGCTATCTTAGTCATGTTCATGGTAATGTCAGTGGACACAAGTTCTATACTGACCCTAAACCCTAAACCCTAAAACCCTAAACCCTATACCCTAACCCTAAAACCCTAATTAAACCCTAAACCATAAGCCCCAAAACCCTAAAACCCTAAACCCTACTTTGTCAGCAGTCGCTGGCTCTGCCCTGCCTGCGGCTGCGGCGGCTGCGCGAAGCCGGTGAGTAAAGCTTTGTACCTGCAAGAGCACGAGGCTTTAGGGTTTAGGGGTTTGGGGCTTAGGGTTTTGGGGGTTATGGTTTAATTAGGGTTTTAGGGTTTAGGGGTTAGGCGCTTTGGGTTTAGGGCGGCCATCTGGGGGTGTGGGGTCCGAGATGATTCGACGAGCCTCGTGGCCTATTTATATTGTGGAACAGCACTACTACATATTATTCGCAAACAGAAACACCAGGTCCAGCCACCGGCCCTGGGTTTCGGGGTTCGGACTTGGGATTGTACTTCCAGCAAATTCACAGCTCGGTAGCGAAGCACACCAGTTAAAGCCTTAGACATGATTGCAACTACCCTTAACAACCCAAACGATTTTCTTTGCATGCAACCTTATTTCTGCAGAGCCTGTTCTGGAACCCTCTGCACGACCCCATGCGCAGGGTGTTTGACTCAGAATCTCGTTGAGTTTGAGCATGGCTTGAGTGCTTTGCTTGAACATTAGAAGTAGGTTTGCAAGCAACGTAACTATGGCTCGGACCGCTTAGGACAGCTGCGTCAACATGAGGACCGTGTTACACTAATTCATTCAGGCAATGATCGGAAAGCCTTTTGAGAAAGCCTAGAGGGACGGCTTTCGTGCCGCTTCGAGTACCACGGACCGCCACTCCTCATTTGGGATCTGCTCTTCTGCGGCGCACCCTGAAATCCCACGAGGCGCTGGGACGGAGTCCCCTGCAAATTCGATCGATCCTGGCCCAGGAGACACCTGTATGTCGTGCTGCAGCGGAGATTGAATCAAAGTCCAGCCAGGTGCTTTTGGACAAACCGGATACAATATGGCAAGCTTGTACTGCCTTTCCAAGTCTCTTGCGCCTTGACCTCCTTTGCAAAGCATGTTGCACATTTTTTGCAGCAGTGACATACTCCAAGTTTTGCACATGGTTGTTACCTCGATCGGAATCTTTGTGGTTGACCTGGATATCTAGAGCATCTGGCTGACCAAGAAACGTCGCAGCAACTACACGGTGCACAAGCATGTGCCTGCTGCTCCTTCGGACGGCATAGTAGCCGTTTCTGAGGCGAGTACCATGGCTCACGAGTCCAACACCGGATTTGGCTTGCGAAACTCGGCCGATGTTGCTGACCATAAGGTTTGGGATGATGGCAGGCTGCCCAGGATATCGCGCAGGGCGCCAGATCTCGTCTGGGAGCGGGCATTTATCATCTAGTGGGGCTGCTTTGAATTCGTACCAAACTCCATCTCCGCAGGACCTCCTGGCCAAACCGCGGATGCACTGTGAGATGGAGCCCTGGCAAACACCCAGCAGCCTCGCAGCTTCCCGCTGCGACGGGCAGAATGACCAAGCCTCCTCACCACACGGCCGCCAAAGGATGGCCTGGCCCCGCTTGGCCGCACCTGTCTGCCGCTTCAAGTTGGTTGCCCACGAATGCCTTTGATTCTCGGCGTTCGTCACGTACTGCAGATTAGTCAGGCGGTTGTTCTCGCGGTCACCGTCCAGGTGATTCACCTGCCAACAGCTCGGAGTGGGGGGCGGGCCCAGAAAGGCTGCGGCCACCAGACGATGCACATGGTAGCCTTGGTTTCCAATCATCACCTTGCGGTACCCGGAGCAGTGAGGGCTCCCATAATGAATTCTGCCGGTGGTACTCGAAACACGTCCGTGAGAGCTCACCTGCCACCCGACTGAAGCATATCTCACGCCCAAAGCAGTGCAACGGAGAAGCTGGAAAGACCCACTGACGAAGGCCGGCTGCCTCCTAAGCCATGCGGCGCACAGCATGCTTGACACTGAGGTTTCTTGATCTTCGAGGTCCGAAGCCCATGTTCAAGCTTCCGAATTTCAAAAGTTCTTGCACCGCACCCTCTGGCCATGAGACTTAGGGCTGAAACGAGGGCCTATTGAAGGATAGAAGCGTTGCAAACCTATTGGCATTCGAAGTCTGCTCATGGCAACTAGAACACGGTTTCCCTGATCCTTCAACCGGACCTCAAGCACCCGAGACCTGTTTCCGAAAGAATATAGGGGCCTTAAGACATTTAATAGGGTTTGGGTTGCCCATTTTTAGAATATGCTTATTGTCATAAGAAGCCCTGAGGAAGAGCGATTGCTATTCAGCCTTCCATATTACTCCGGGCGCACTCCCCGCCCCCAGCTCCAGTGATGACCAGCATCGCACGGCACTCCCCAAGCATCTGCCGCGGCAAGAGGGATTCTTCTTGGCTGGTTTCACGGGCTCCGGATTTGTGCAGGTGTTTGACTATTGATGTAGGGCTGCAAGAGCGTATGGTGACACGGCATTGCCTGGCAAACCGAAGCACGTGCTTCCCAACGACTCAACATCTCCAAATCAAAGGTCCCCTGATAAGGGTCCCAACCAGAAGGAAACACAATGATGATCCCTGAAAAATAAACACAAAGATCCGCCGTGCCTAAGATAATCCCTTGTGGACAAAGTCCTAAAGCAGTATTCCTAGGGTGCAGCTTGCTGTTCACCAGGTGTATGCTGCCTTCGAAAATACATATACTATAACTATATAAGATGCCCGGCAGACACAGCAAAGGCTGGCTCAACTGCCTTAGGGTTTAGGGCTTGTTTGGGATCCGAACCTGTTCTGGGCCATGTTCTAGAAGCTGAGTTTTAGGCATATGAGTAAGGACTTGGGGTTTCAGGATTCTTGGCCGAGGACGTTCAGGGTTTGAGGTTTAGCTTCCCGACTGAGTGGGCGAACCCACCCTGAACCCAAAGGGGGACAATCCTACACCCGTAAGCCTCAATCCAGAAGTTAAAACCTCAAACAGTACGGTGGAAGCCCAAAACCTACACTTATGAACTGTAGATTTCCAAAGCCCTCGACCTGAAAATGAGTTCAGCCTTGCATCCGAAACCACCGAAACCCTGCTTCGGCATACAACAGGAAAACGCCTCTAAACTCTTGCTAGAGTATATACAGGACCTTTACCGAGACGTTACGACAACACACCTTAAACCCTCAACCCGCTTAAAGCAAGCAACTCTGGATATCGGATAGAAACACCTGAAACATCAAACCCTAAACCCTAAACCCCTAAACCCTACATAAACCCTAAACCCTAAACCTTCAACCCTAAACCCCTAAACCCTAAACCCCTAACCCCCCCCCATAAGCCCAAAGCAAACAGGCCGGCGGAGGCCGAGGGCTGGAAACGGACTCCGAGTTCCACCGGCTGGGCTTCGCTCGTCACGGCCGGAGCGGTGACCTTCGAGGTGTAATAAAGAAGCCTAAAAAAGAACCTATTCTATTCTTAGGGTTCCTTATTAATAATGATACCATAAAGGAGCCCAAAACCCTATTCTAGGTATTAAGGCCCCTACATTGTGTGAGCTAGGGATCCTTTGTTGAAGTCCTTTTGTGGTTCCATAAGGGTTCCTATAGTTATCCTAGGGATGAGGGCATCCGGGGGATAAGATGCTTTGTAGGGATTGACGGTGTTACAAGGACTAGGCTGCTTCGAAGGACTCCTTCAGTAAGGGACTTCGCAGCATTTCAGTAGGTCCTGCACCAGAACGTTTCCGAGACCATCGGACACATCCGAAAAACTCTGCAGCACTCCAAATCCTAGACTCCAAATCTTCTGTCACCAATGCAGCATGCTAAACCCTTAGCCTTCAACAAAAGACCCAAACCCTAGATCCCACACACTCAACTGAAAAACCCGAGCGAGGTCTTCGACTCGAAATCCTACTAAGCCCTAAATCCCAAAAGCTGAACCCCTGAACCCCAAAACCCGTAAACTCTAAACCCCTCAGCCCGCAAACCCCTAAACGTGAAACCCGGAGTTTCCCGCCTCAGCAGATTCCAGGCAGAAGTCCATCGACGGCCCCTTCTGCCCTGGTGCTGCCTGGAATGGGGCTTTGGGGCCATAGGGTTTAGGGAGCTCTTCTTTTTTTCAAGTGGAGAGGTGGCATTGGGGTTCTGCAGATTTTTGGAGTTTAGGTGTTTATGCTCATCTCTACGTAGTTAGTTCTGTCCCGGTTCTGAATTCCAACACTTCAGGCCCCGGGTCTTGGCCTTAGCGTGGTTTCCCTAAGAAACCCAAAAGTTCGGGGTTCCTTTGCTGAGCTTTGATCATGAAGCTCATTGCAATTATGCGGAGCTTTCCGATTCACACTGTAAAGTTTTATGGCCGAAGAACCCGGAACGGGTGTTGCCACTTTAGTTGATCCTTCTTTGGGGGGGGGGGGGAGCTTCGCGCCACCGGCTTCTTGAGTTTGGGGCTTGGGCATGGGGTGCACATGAGGTCGGTGTTCAGAAGTCTTACATTTCGCGCGTCCCATGCCCTGAAAATGCAGACCACCAGGTCCCGAGGCCCCTGATGCCGGAGCTCTAGACAGTCTCACACCAAGAGCTGTAACAAACACCTGTAACAAACACCTGAAGCTTGCATTCTTGTCACTTGCCTGAGTTTGCGCCCCGACAACCGACACTTGCTGCAATGTCCATGAACCATAGCACCCCACTCTGAGGCCTAGGTTAAGGGAAAAAGATGAGAGTAAACTGCTGCAGAAGGATTTTGGTGTAAACCATAACGTCATCAACCAGGGACTACAATCTACAACTATAAAGGGGGTACAATCACTGAGGCTACTAAGGATTCCGGCCGATGTGTTACCAGTCCTCCACTCCATTCCCGCCTCGACTTTGGCACTGTACTTGACAGCTCCCTGGCAGTGGGCTGTACGATTTAGCGATCAAGTGAAGGGTCGCGAAGGGTGCTGCATTCAGGATTTCGGTGTTGCAGGACTGTTCGAGTTGCTGGCTTTTTGTCTTCGGCAAACCCTCTTCAATCTGACCTTACAAACAGGTCTGCTCAGCATCGCCCAAACCAGGCACTTAACACTCGAAAGATCTCCCCGAGGTTCAGCAAGCTGTCCCAGAAACACGCAAGCGCCCTCTGCAGCGTGTTACCTCAAGCCCATTTAATTTGTCAAACAGGCGGGGTTTGTGGCTTACCGGATGTTGGTGCAGCGTATGCGAAGCAACAGTGTAACCAAGTATCTCTGCTTTCGGGGAGCCGGTCATAGCAAGACCCGCAAATCAACGAAGCCCTCCAAGAACCCGCTCCCCACATTTAAAAGATCCCTTCTTAAGACACCGCAAAAGCACAGAAAAAAGCTCTGTAAGGCCTGTCAAAGCTCATAAAAACCTTTAAAATCTATACAACCCTTTAAACACAGCCCCCTCAAAGCCCTAAGCCCTAAACCCCCCAAAAATCCCTCCCTAAATGAACCACTAGAAACCCTGAAAACCCCGCCCCTCAAAGGCCCCGAATGCCTTCGCGTAGTGAAGGAACTTGAAGCTCTCGACGACAGAGCCTCCCAACCTTCACAGAGGCCAACTTCAGCTGGAACGGTCAGGGTTTAGGGTTTTCCGATGGACAAGGTTTCCAGAGCTTCAGGGTTTAGGGTTTTGAAATTTACTTTTAGGGTTGTGGGGTGTCCTTGGGCTTCAGGATTTTGGGATTTAGTTTTTGGGTTGTGGGATTGTGGGTTCAGGGTTTTGGTGGTTAGGGTTGTGGGGTTTAGGCTTTTAGGGTATCAAGGCTTTAGAGCCTTAGGGTTTACGAAACTCGGGTTTAGCGCGCTAAGGGGCCTGAGTTACAGAGTTTAGGTTTACTTAGTGGAGCAAGAATCTACAAACCTGGCTGTCACTACCTCAGAAGGGATAATATATGTCAGCCACAGGAACTGCAAGTATAGATCACAGTAAAGTAGCTTCAACCACCCACGGTCCATCATGGTATCGCGTCCACTACATCCTGCAACCTCAACCCTGGTTTACCCAAGACCCTTCTTCGCCCAAAGTCTCAGGGCTTTGAGGGTATTGTAATAGTATAGTATCTGTCTGAAAAAAACTGTCTAGGGACCATGGACAGTTGCTGGAATGTTTCTTGCTGATTATTGTTTGAACTAAGGGTTTGGGCTATACCAGATGTTTAATTACGCTGGGGCTATGTTGCAAGAGGAGGCTCATCTCATAACTTGCCGTTCAGACATCCACATGCGAATCTTGAACATAACGCCCAAATGCCTTCATTGAGCATCCATGGGAGTTCTGCGTCCCGAGAAGGTAAAGCTATATTCAACCCCCAAGCCCTAAAACCTCAAGCCCCATGCCCTGAACTCCAAACACTGAGTCTAAACCCCTTGAGCAATAGGTGCGAAACCCGGCAATCCGAAACCCTTAAACTCCGCCCATCTTATAGCCCTGAACAACTAAATGCCCACATCCAAAGCCCCTCCATACCCAGATCCCTTAAAGGATCTGGCCAATGAAACCCTCAAACCAAGTAAGAATCTCCATGTCGGAGTTTTGGGTTTAAGTGTCCTACCCTAAACCCTAAACCCTCAACCCGAAACCCAAAACCCTAAACCCTAAACCCTACACCCTAAACCCTAAACCTCTTTGTGGACTCAACTTGTTGGATCCTTCAGAGTAGCCGGGGCCCCTCGCGGAGCTTTGAGAACCAGGGCACGCTCCAGTCCCTGCCGGAGTTTTTTTGGTATTTTAGGATTTAGGGTTTAGGGCTTTGAGGGTTTAGGGTTTAGGGTTCTGAGGGTGATTGATCTTTCGGGTAGGCGGTCAAAGTTTTTCGGTTTTGTGTGGCGGTTCAGGGTAAAAGGGTTTAGATGGATAAAGTATAGGGCTTTTCAGTGATTCAGTGCAATCCAGGGCTCGTCCCCTATGGCCTCAAACCTCTGGCTCTGAAGGGTGTAGGCCTAAGGTTTGGGGTTTCAGGGTCTCAGGGTTCAGTGTTCGAGGCTTTAAGGTTTATTGGGTTGTGAGTGGGGGCGTCAGGTTATAGCTTGTGTGGTGTTGACTCTGGGGCGTTGCAGTTGAGGGTTTGCGGCCTCCAGTTTCCGCATGGAATGGGGATTACTGATGCGCAACTTACTGGTGCGGATCCCAGTAGTGGACCGTACACATCCCTGACGGAAGTCCAGGCCCACTACTGTCTGTTTGTGTCTGATGAAGGGATTTGGGCTGGAGCTTAGGGTCAGGAGCCTCCCTTTCGGTTTTTGCGGGGGTTTCCGGGAAGTTTCGGGCCTCAAAGCTTCGAAAGTGCAAGGAACCTCCGGAGCATCCTGGATTTCCCCAACGCATGGACTCAAAAGTGTCCCAAAAAGCCCAGGAATTGAAGCAAATCACTGAATGCTTCAAAAGGATCCCCAAACCCTGAACCCGAAGCGATAACAGATTCGATGTGGTTTAGGGCTTTAGTTTAGGGTATGGAGATGTACGGAGCCTCTAGTGAACTCAACGCTTGGGGGCTTCAATGCAAACCACAGGTCATTCAAGCGATCCACTTGTCCTAAAGCCTTTGAAGCCCTTGTAGAATCCTGGTAAACTCTTTGGCAGCTCTTCCGAAAGTCACACGATCCACTTGTCCTAAAGCCTGAAGCCCCTGTAGAATCCTGGTAAACCACCCTAAACCCTAAACCCTAAACCCTCTTGGTAGCTCTTCCGAAAGTCACACTTTCCCTATGTTCCAAGCCATGGCTGAGCTCGGCACTGCTGGGGTCGATCGCCAGTTCACAGTGTAGGGGTAGGTTCCCAGCTGCTCACTCTTCAGCATAACCTGGTGTTCGAATCGTGGTCGGCTTTAGATCAGATCTTGTCTTGTTGGGCTTCGAAGTTTCGTTTCGGATTTCGGTGATTATAGGGTCTTGCAGAGTTTTGCGGTTTAGGGTGGGTTCGGAGGCTTTGGGCCTGGGGCTTGACGGACGAGGATTGGGACATCTCGATCCTGCACCCCTTGAAGTCAGCGCCTCAACAGACAACCCCAAAACTCAAACTCCGAAACCCTAAATCCCCTATGCACCCTACACCCCAGCCTTGGAGCATCCCTTCCACCCCTTAAGCCTCATCTAATGCCCTTTGAACCAGTAACGGGGGAGCCGTGTCGTTCCCCAACAGGGGAGGCAGGGTATACTATACTACAACGGCCATGCAGGAAAGGGGGGAGGGGTTTCGACAACCATGGCACGTTTAGAAACCGTCAAAGAACCGCTTTTTGAAGTCCCTGATAGAAACCCTCGTCGCAACCCTGGCAGTAGCCCTGTAAACAAGAGACTCTTGATAGAAACACGAGCAGCAACCCCACACTGTAAGGAAACCGTAAACCCAAAACCCTGAACACTGGAAGTCCAAACCCCCGCAGCCCTAAACTCTGCACGCTGTAAACCTTCTAGGAACCCTGAACCTCACCCTGTCAATCCAGAAAGGGCCTCTGCTTCACCGTCGCCTTCCTCAAGCGGCCTGGTCTTCTCAATCCGAGTTTGGGTGTAGTTTAGGGGTGTTAGTTCGATAAGAGAACAAGGGTGGCAGGTTTCAGAGGCTAGACAAGGGCATTGCAAGGGTTCTGTGGGGGGCAAACAAGCGCACTTTAGCATTGTACAAGGGTCTTGTCCTCAAGCCATGGGTCCCAAGCCCTACACCCTAGACCGGCTACGTTGTGCTTATGCATTTACAGGGCCTTTCCGGTTGCAGGTTCTCGAAACAACTCATGTCGTTCCTGTCTTACTGCGAGTCGTTGCCCATCAGACTGCAATCCTCCTCGGCCCTGCAACCTAATTCCGATAGATGGGTAGTTCTCTAAATTAGGGTCCCCTCAGACCCCAAGCCCCAAACCTCAGACACTTAGCTGTAAAACCCTATGAACCCCGGGTAGAGCTAATGCCCACGTTCATGTTCCAACAATGCCGGAGCCTGAAGATCAACTCCATCGTCTTTTCGCTCCGCGGCGGCACCTGCAAAGGGGGACGGGGTCGTAACGAACTTTTTAAGGATTCCCTTATGGCTTTGGGGGAGTTGCACAATATGCTCCGAAACGGATATTGTGGAGCCGCGCATTGCTCTTTGGTACTCGTTTGCAAAGTGAATAGGCTTCCAGCTTGCAGTGCATGGGTAGAATCAGCATATTCTCAACAGCTAACTGTAAACTTGTTCTTGCTCCCTGCACCTTGCAGAAACCCACTCTTGAGCATTTAACGGTTTACAGACATGTTAAATTCCCAAACACGGAACACGCCATACTCTGGCAAGAAGACATGCCTTCCCCGATGTGCATTACATCCGGAACACTGAAATCGCTGAGGTTCCAAGTCCCGCTGGAAAAGCCTCGAGCGTCTCTGGATGGAAGCGGAAGAAATGTTCGGACGCAGTGCCTGTGAACCTGACCAGAGTTTGGGCTTAGGGGTTCGTGCTTTAAGGTTTTCGTGCTGACTGCCTTTGCCACTTCTGTTCTTGCTGATATCCGAACTACTCACCCCATTGCAAACCTTGAGCATCGAAGGTACGCGCTCTTTGCCACTCGACCTTTTGACATTTCTGAGAGGCCAATAACCTGATCCAAACACCCTGGCCGCCCTAATCCAAAAGCCACAAACCCCAATGCCTGGAACCAAATCCGGCACTTTTTGCTAGGGGTTTCAATGAATCCGAACCGCCGAGCCAACTGCCTAAATCAGCCAAAAGTCCGAGGTCTAAGGTTTTCCAGGGTCTTGTTGAGAGCCCCCAGGATATTCAATGGTTTTCTGAAGTGTTCTGTGGGCACTGAGTTGTTGGGGTTAAGGTGCAACATGTCTAAGCATTGATGGGTCTGCAGGGCCTATACGGTTCAGCGCTACAGGGCATGGTTGCCGCTTGTGGCCCGAAACCTCCAGGAATCAACGCGAACGGCCGTCAAGTCGACAAACTGAGTCGAACAAACGACTCTAAACCGTGACAAAGCTCCGGAAGTCCATAGGCCTTAACTCGTAAAGCCCTGGACTTCAAAACAAACTGAACCCACTTAGGGCAAGAGAGTGCCGAGCCCTCCCACCCTCCGCTCCAACAAAAATCAAGTGGTCGCCTGGCAGGCTGCATCAGTGGGTTTGCAACCGCGATCTTGTGCCGGACGACTTGTCGGCAAGCTGCCTGGCAAGGCCCGGATTCGTGACGGTTTCGGGCTTAGGGTTTAAGGGGTTCAGGACTCAAGCTTAAGGTTGGATTCAGGACTCAAGCTTTGGTGTTTCTTTGGGGCTTCAGGTCTAGAGTTGGGGAAATGATCGAGGTGGGGTATATGTCTGAACCCTACCGCTTTAAAACGGACTCGTTGCCAGGAGCCTCGAGTTTGATGGTCGCCAGGGACTCGGCGGCATAGAACTCGAGCTTCACTTCGATATTCATGAACTCACCTGATTTAGAGACTTAGGGTAGGGTCTACGTGGTTTTAGGGCTAAGGGCAGGGTTCAGGGTAGGGTTTAGGGTCTGGGGCTTCATGTTCATGAAGGGTCCAGAGATTTCGGGTAGATGTTGGACAGGGTTCGGGGTCTTTGGATTCATGTTCATGAACTCATCCGGCTCCGAGATTTAGGATCAAGGTAGACAGGCTTGAGGAGTTTAGGATTCAGAGCACGGAGATAAGGGTTGATACGTCTTAGCGTTGGGGCCCCCCTTGGAAACATCCCCCTCATGCTTTTTGGGTGTACATGTCAGGAACGTGATTCATTGCGAGTCATATTAACATAGGGGCCTTAATGGTCAACATAAGGTTTTGGAGTATATTATGCCATAATTTCAATGAGGACCCCTGGTTTACAAGTTGTAGCAGAATCTTACGACCAGGGATTCAGTGGGTCGTATCCTGCTCCAAACATGATGAAGCTTGCGTCCTCAACAACTGCATATAGCTACAAGTAATAGCTTTCTTGGGCCCCTAGACTTACTTATAGGTCCCAGACCCTGATGTAGTCCAGGCAATGCTTTAAGAACTGTAGGGGCTTTAAGAACTATGGGGGCTAACGGAATCTACCGAGCTTCTGTCAGAACCCTCAAACCCCAAAGCCCCTCAAGCAAACCCAAAAGTCCGACTGCTCAAATCTATCTGCCTTCTCAACCCTTAATGTGAAAGCCTTAACCCGAAAACCAAAACCCTAAGCTGAAGGCTTGCCTGTGTCCTGGCTCCGTAGGTTGATGCGCACCAAGGCAGTGCCTTCATGATACCTCAAAGGACGTTCCAAGACGGGGTTGAGTAGACGAACTTACTTGACTTTCTCTGAAGACGTCCCTATTCTCCTTGTCCTAAGATACCCTTCACTTTAAGATAAGATAGACCAATGATGGCAACTGAAGCGGATTTTGCACAAGGGTTGCGACTCGAGACCTTCCTTGGGGCTACAACAGTTATTCTACTTATGACCCAACATATAACTGCAAATGAACCTCCAAGCAGTGACTTTTCAATGGGGTACCAGGGTTGCAGCAATCCTGTTGATATTGATACGACCCGAGAAGGCTTTAGGCAACCTCTGCTGAACTTGAATCTTGTCTACCTTGGTCAACCCTGGAACCGAGCCGAACCACTTAACCTGCCTTTTAAAGCCTGTTAGAATCAAGCCTAAGTCCTGAACCTGTCATCCGGAGTAACATCCAAAGCTGCAGCCCCGAATTCAGCATGTCAGGCGGAGTTCCATGCCCCAAAAGGATCAATGGTGAAGGATGCTTCACCTAGGAGTACTCGACACCAGGGACGCAAAATCAAATGTAGGTGCCTTACCAACTAGATGTGGGCTTTGGGTCCCTTTGCAATCGAAGTTGCGCGGCGGCTTTCAAATATCGCTATTGCGAGAGTTGCCAAATCGTCAGAACCCTAGTTTGACAACTTCTTGGCAGGGCACGCATAGACACTGAAGCGGTACTCTCGCTCCAAGCCTTGCCATGTGGGTTGAGGGTGTAGGACCAAATCTGCCGAAATCTGTCCTATTCGGAGTCTAAATGTAGGGGGAATTACGTTCAGAAGCTCGCATACCGAGGCCTGTGCGATGCTGGCGTAGGCGTCGGCTTCAGAAAATGACAGTTTAGGATGTGTTGAATTCTTTGGGTTGATGCCGTGGCTTGGAAAGCATTTCGGTTTGGGCGTTCTATGTCGCAGCTTGGCACAGGGTACTGTATGCTTCTGGTAAATGACAGATTCGGACTGAGCATTCTGTGCAAAGGACCCGCGACTACAAGATTTCCTCGGAACGCACAGCAGTTACAAAAGGTCGAAGCCAGATCCCTGTCCGTTGCCGAAAGCCCTGCGCACGAGGTGGAGGCGCTGAGCGTAAACAAGGAGCAGCAACTGGATCAACACTTTGCGGCCAGGTTAAGATGCAATTCATATTCATGTTCTGCGCAGTGCACAGCTTCAGATATGTGGCACAAGGTTCACAGCGGAGGGTCACTGCTTTTGGCCGCAGGGCGTTCAGCTCAGTCCTGAATTCGGACAGCCCATCAAGACCGAAGTCCCATCCCGGGTGCCCAAGCTTGACAAACCCCTGCTAAACCCCGAACCTTAAACTCTATAGCCTCGAAATCCCTTCCCCCGAAATTTTATACCTGAAAACCACAAAACCGGAACCCCTATCCTCCCAGGCCACCGGAGGACCTGGAGGCAGGTCCAAGGTACCAACGCCCTGGAGGCTGATGCCCTGAAAGATGGCCAGGAGATTCAGTGCGTTTAGCTGTCTGCTTTCGTTCTTATCGCTAATGACTTGCCCTAATCCCTATACCGTAAACCGCACGAGGGGCCAGGCTGGCAAGCCTTAGCATTTTGGGGGCTTGTTGGTCCAAGCAATCAAAGCTTTATCATGCCTTATCAGACCTCAGGGTTGCGTAGGGCCTAATTAGTTTCGGTTTGGATTGGAGTTTGCCTGTGTAAAGTTCAGGAGAATTTGGGCAGGGGGTGTGGGGGTCCATGAGTGAAGTTCACCTTGTATCCCGAAACTGCACTACGTTGGGCCGAAGTGTCCGACCTCCCATTACAGTCTCAGGGCCGCGAACAAAAATTCCTTCGGTGCAAAGTGCACAGTTCTTGGGCACTTGGATCTTTAGTCGTATCGACCCAAAAAGTTTAAGCCCGAGCAGCACATGCTTTCGATCCAGGACTCAGACACGCAAGGAAGGAATGCTTGGTGTACAGCAGTGGCTTCGCGCTGTATGTGTGCGAGTGAGCGTGAGTGAGTGAGTGAGCGAGCGAGGGGGGAGGGAGGAGAGAGAGAGAGAGAGAACCTGTGTTTCTGTGCTTGTCTGTATCCGTGCGTGTGTGTGTGTGTGTGTATGCGTGCGTGGACTGGCAGAAGGAATCTACGAGATTACCAAGGAAGGATGTACATCCGAATAGACCCCCCGGCACATCAAGCCCTCATACAAATCGCACCAAAGCCTGCAAACCATAAAAAGCTGACATTATGCAAAATCTCCGATCGCTCAGCTGAGGCCTGTCCCTGTGGGGTGTCGGGAGCCGGCTCGAGGAGTTCTGTGGTGACATTGAACCGCTGCCTGTGGCATAAGCATTTAGGGTTTGAATGGGTTTAGAACATAGTAGGAGTTTAGGAGTCTGCAGGGCGATGCTTTGAGTTAGTTTCCGCATTGCTTCAGGATCGAGTCTTGTGTTTAGGAGTTGTTTCAGGGGCTCAAGGTCTGCTGCTTTCAGGCTTAGGGGCTTAACGTTTGGATTCCCATACCCTACACCGGAGAACCAACTCTCAAAGCACTCCTACTCCGAGTCCGAAGCTTCCGGTCGCATGGCTCTTTTTCTCGGCCTTCCTGTTGCAGAGGCATCTCCACCTATAGTCTCCATTGTAGTTCCTTTTTGGGGTTACCTTAGAGGATCCTAAATATATGTTTGGTTAAACCAAAAAAGGAACTACAATGGAGACTGTAGGCACTGTTGGTGAAGAAGCTTTCGGTCTTCGGCTCCTCCTGCGAGGTCCGTGTCGCACAGCAGCTTCTCGCCGTGTCCCCCCTTGTGGTAGCCAGGCCTTCGAAGGTAATGGGGGAACCTGATTAAGAAACCTTGGGTCTTTATAAGGGTTCTCTATATGAATCCTAATATTTTGTGGTTAGAGGGCCAGGGGTTCTTAATCAGGTTCCTACATTAGTGCTCGTGTGTTGGCGCGCTGGGATCCCGTCCTCACATTCGCTGATTTACGGAGGCGGACCCCTGGCCCTGCTGGCTGACCCCGAACACTCTCTTTGTGTTGGATCCGCCCCGGTGCAAACAGACCGGCGAGACGAGGTAGTAAATCCAACAAATCAGACGGGCCTCCTTCTGGGTGTCGGGCTATGAATTTCATAACCCCAAAGCTCGAAATTCTGAATCCAAGACTAAGAACACACCCTGCATCCCCCCAAAACTCTTGTGATGCTGGGCGGGTTGCGTGTCTACAGTGCAGGCTGCAGGAACCTCAGCTCCCTTGAATTCCGGCGCTGTGGGCAATGTAAAATTGGCGATGAGTTGATGCCCTCAACCAAAGCCCCTCCGCGCCTCCCCCGTCACAAAAAACCTTGGGACATAGAAACATGTGCGAAGCTTCTGCCCAGAATCGGGACGCCTGCAGTTTGGGGTAACCTACCTACACCATGACAAAGGTCTGTGGGTATCATGTGCCGTTTATCAACTAATCAGTACGATGACGATATCGACAAGGGTGTGAGCATAAATTCAGAGCTGATGTTCATACAATGCGACATGCAACAGTAACTGCTATTCAAGGATCCTGAACGAACAGAAGCTCTCTGTACACCTAATCTACACCGAAATCGTCAAAATTGGGACCCTGCACACTGAAAGACATCCCTCCGGCTGCAAGCAACCAGTGCCTCTCGTGGAGCCAGTTTTTCACGGGCACCGCCTGGCTTTGGGAACAAGCTGACTGAAGTAATGTCTATCTGTCCGCAGCGGTGCTCTGCTTAGTCGTTGATTTCGCGTTCTGAATGTGAAGCACTCAGCACTGCTTGGCATCTTCGTGACCTTGCTAGCTTCGGCTGTTGTTTTGATGCGCCAAATGAGAAATATCAAGCTGAACAATGTGCCCGCCTGAGTGTGCTTCTTCTTGCAGGGCACACGTGCCTCGATGCGCGACCCAACCTTCCAGGGCGACGAATGCCGGCAGGCTTCAGCGTCCCTTTTCTGAGTATCGATATGCTGCCATTACTACTAGATCGCTCATGCGGAAAGGGGAAACGAAGGCAAAACCCTGATAATGTCCATACTACCGTAAGACATGCTCTATAGGGAAATCAAAAATCAAGCTCGGTTTCCCGATATATAGAGTTCAAGATTCCCGATTGGCATGTAGGCATCGTGCCTGGCAACTCTCCTTTTCATAAGTTGCACAGTGCCCACGACCCTAGTGAGCTAAACCCTGTGCCACGGATCCAAAACAATCCAAAGCTTCCTCGACGGAATCCACTGCATAGCATAATCCTGAAATCCTGAACTTATGGGTCTTATGGCAATGCACGGTGTTCATGTTTGTACATGATTGTACAAGACAGAACTCACCGCTCCATGGGATAGGTTGCAGGAACCCTATTGTAAATAAGTACAATGCACATCGTCTTCGTGCAGGAACAACAAGGCTAGAGAAAGTTGATCCTGTGGGTTGCTTCCGTATCGTATTGAAGACCTCGGGAGCGTTGGCTTCGCCCTCGAGCTCATAGCACACGGCATTGCCGTCGGGTGTCCTGCACACGGCGGGTTCTATGAGGATTGGAGATTAGAGTTTGGATGGATTCAGACTCGAAGTTAAAGGCTCTGCTCAGCTCGAGTGTAGGCAACTCGAGAGACATTGTTACACAAAGTCAGGCAGGCAGCGTTGACTAAGGACGGACATTTTCCACACTGTATTGGTAACTAACGGACAACGCCTTTTGACAAAGCCTAGTGACTAGTGCGAAGATCGCCGCGCCCCGTCTAATACCACGGTCCGCCACACCTCACCAGGGATCTGCTTTTCTTCAGCAAACTTGAAATCCCAGGAAGCAGCACCGGCAAGTCCCCTGCAAATTCGATCGATCCTGGCCCAGGAGACACCTGTATGTCGTGCTGCAGCGGCGACTGAATCAAAGTCCAGCCAGGTGCTTTTGGACAAACCGGATGCAATATAGCAAGCTTGTACTGCCTTGCCAAGTCTCCTCCAACCTGACCTCCTTCTTTGCACGTTTTGTGCAGCAGTGACGTATTCCAAGTTGTTTACATGGTTGTTACCTCGATCGGAATCTTTGTGGTTGACCTGGATTTCAGGATTCTCTGGCTGACCGAAAAACGTCGCAGCCACCACACGGTGCACAAGCATATAGTTGCCGGTTCTACGGACAACATAGTAGCCATTTTTGAGGAGAGTTCCACAGCTTATAGTTCCGAATCCAGATTTGGCTTGCGAAACTCGGCCGCGGTTGCTGACCACAAGGTTCGGGATGATTCCAGGTACTCCTGGATATCGCGCAGGCCGCCAGATCTCTGTCGGGAGGGAGCCCCGCTCAACAACTGTGGCTGTGACGGCTTTGAATTCGTACCAAACACCATTTGCACGGCACTTTCTGCTCAAACCGCGGGCGCACTGTGAAATGGAGGACCTGCGGATACCCAGCAGTCTTGCACCTTCCGTGTGCGACTCGCAACAGGACCAAGCCTCCTCACCACACGGCCGCCAAAGGATGGCCTGGCCTCGCTTGGCCGCACTTGTCTGCCGCTTCGGGTTAGTGGCCCAAGAATGCCTTTGATTCTCGGCGGGCGTCACATACTGCAGATTAGTCAGACGGTTGTTCTCGCGGTCACCGTCCAGGTGATTCACCTGCCAACAGTTCGGATCTGGCGGAGAACCCAGAAAGGCGGCAGCCACCAAACGATGCACAGCATAGAGCTTGCGTTCAATCCCAACCCTGCGGTACCCGGAGCAGGTAAGGGTCCCGTAAGAAATTATGCCTGTGGTATTCGAAACACGGCCGTGAGAGCTCACTTGCCAACAGCCCGAAGCACAGCGCACTCCCCCAACAACCCAATCGAGAAGCTGGAAAGACATACTGCCAAATGCCGGTTGCCTCATAATCCATGCAGCGCGCAACATGCTTGAGACACTGGCTTCCCGATCTTAGAGGTCACAGGCCCATAATGGGAATGAAGGATCGCCGGCGGAATTCCAGCACCTAAGCCTGTAGCCTTCGGAGTTTGAGCGTGACGTCGCGTTTAGACGCCCAAAGCCTCACGGCCTCACCATAACGGTTAGGGCTAAAACGAAGCGACTCGAGCTGGAAGCTAGCCCGATGCAGGATTCACACAGAGCTGCTGCGAAACTAGTAACTAACTAACTAACTGCATTCCATGCCTGCCTTGCATCCCCTCAACCTTTCATGCCCGAATTCTTATATCCGAAGCCTTCAGTTCTAAACGCGAGCCCAGTCAGTCAAACAGGCACGAGCTCGAAGCCCCAAACCTCAAGCCGAAGTCGTGCTACACGTTCAACAGGCTCTAGAACATAACAAATCCTGGGAAAAGAGCAATAACGATACTTGTACGACCCTCCAAAAAGATGCCGAGACTGTCACCATCCAAGGCGAAAAGACTAAAACACCTGTTGAACACGGGCATAAAGCCGCAAACTTTTCAGCACCCCGCAGGCTGTCCCGACGAAGATGCTGCCCTTGTGCTTCTCTGCACGCTGCTTGCCGCTCATTGGGCCTCGTTTGTAGTAGGTATCGGGCCCAGGAGTTTACGGTTGCAGAAGGCTTCGGGTGTGAGGTTTGGGGTTAGCGGTATGAACGGCAAATTTGGGGTTTGGCTCTCTTGTTAAATGCACCCTCGAACTGCCAGCTGTGCAGCGGTAAAGGCTGCAGGTTCCAACTTGATGGCAGTCAGGAATGCAAGCTCGTGGCGATCCTGTTGGAGCAAGATCTTGGACTAGCAGCTCAGAAAGAATGAACCATGCCTGATGCAATGCCATAACTCTAAGACACTCGGAAATCCGACACACATTGTAGCTTCTTGCGTTAACGTGCTACTGAAACTGAGCAAAAAGTTTTCACTCTCTCGACTGTCTAGACAGTCCAGAAACTATTAGGCCCACAGATCGAATACGTCAATACGTTCCACCTGCGCATCCCGAAATCCAAACGTCCACGACAAGACCCGAATTTCGAAACTTCTCGTTTCAAAATGCAGCTATGGCTTTAAACCCACTGCCAAGCCTTGGACGTCCTAGGACATTAACTGTGCTATACTAGGGGTTCTGCTTCTACTATTCCACTCAAACACATTACGACTGCACAGGTTCCAAGAAATGAATCCGAGTGGACCGTGTAATCTGAATACTGCAGCATGAGGAATCACAGAGTAAGACTTTCTCAACCACCGAAGGACAGAATCATTTCCTGTCACTTCCCAGCCAAGCAGCTTGTGTCTGCAGCTGACGTCATGGTCAAGGGCATGTAGTACACCTGGGCTGTCGGTTGTTCTAGGATGCTTTGGGAAATATTCCGGCAGGTGCAGTTGCGCCCCAGCACCAAACTAACGTCACGTTCCCGTGACTGTCACTCCAAAAAAATCGCCAAACCCCCGAAAGTGTTTGAACCGCTAAATGGCCCGGTGGGGTGGGGACTCTCTTGGCATAAGCAAGAGGTATAGTGATCAGGGTTTGCAGTAGCCCATCCTAATACAACAGATACTCGCACCAGCAACCTTCAATCAACGTCACCCAGATCCGCACACCGTAAAGCAAAGCCCGAAATCCAAAATGGTCACGCGCTGCAACAAGGCGCAAAGCTCGACACGCATGAACCCTGACTCCATATTGTTCAGTAACCCTGCTCGACAAGAAGCCAACACGACCAAACCTCAAACCCATGTGCTTACAAGCACCGAAAGCGACACTGCCAAAGTCCCGAATCTTAAAGCACTCAAGCCCTGGCATCCATTCTAAAGCCGCAACCTTCAAGCCGAATACCCTAAACTACAACCCTGGTTGACTCAGCGCCCGAAGCCCCAAGCCCTAACCCGCCCAGGTCGGAAATTCAAAACCTGAAACCCTATGACTCCGTGTAGTGCCCCTGGTGCCCTTCCAGAAGCTCTCATCAAGCCTTTGCCGGCCTCCAAAGGTCTCCCGGTGGATCTGCTGGGGTCCGGGCCTGCACGCTAGCATCCTTCTTGGCCGGCACGACGATCTCCTGCCCCAGGTCAGGGTTTGGGGCTTTCTGGTCTAAGGTTCTGATCACGGGCTTGCTTCGAGTTTGGGTCAGGGTTTAGAACGTCTCGGGCCAATGAAAACCCTCAAGCCCGGCTCAAGGAAAAACCCCTTAAACCCTCTCCTTAAAATCCTACAGCCCGAGACCCAGCCTACTAAGCCCAGGGCTCCAAATCTAGAATCCTCTGCCGCAAACCCAGAACCCCAAATGCCCAACCGCAAGCCCAGAGTCGTCAGCTAATCACCTAATCTTACTTGAAGGCTCATTAGTAGCTATTTCTCGGCAGCTACCTTCTTAGCACCCTGCGTGCTAAGTCCCCTTATCCTTGAAGTCAACTTGAACCCACCTTCTCGCAGCTGAAGTAGCTGGTGCCAGCCGGCTCTTGCGTGACCACCTGCTAGCAGCAGGGGGCGCTGGTTCGGGTTACAGATGGTTACAATGTCGCTTTATAGTTTCGGGGCGATTTGAGTGTTCCGGTCTGAAATAACTTTTTGGCTTCAACCGAAACTTGTAGGGTAAGTTGATACAGATATATTGATTTTGCGGTTTCCTAACCAAGTAAACAGGGTAGAACAACAGCGCCCAGAGCGCTGCAGGCGGCGCCTGAGGGTACAACTTCCAGTCCGTCTCGGTCGGGTTCGAGACGATGAAGCCTCAGAATCACGGGACTCAGGCAGATTAAGCCCACAACGTGCAGTGTTCTAGCTTCGACCCCGGAAACCCGTACGGATTCGTAGTGGGGTTTTGTATTTGAGTATGTGAGTTGCAGAGGTTTTCACGACCACCTACCGTGAACCCCCAAACCTGAAAGACTCTAAACCCCAGCCCTAGTTGCAACATATTGCAACATCACTGCTGCCTCACCATGCAGCCACAATTTCCGAGCCTCAGCGTCTGTCAATCTAAAACCTCATCCCTCAACCTGACAGCCGCGGCAGACGCGAACTCCCTAAAGAGCTAAGGCCTCAAAACGAAAGATTCACAGACTGCACCTTCAAAGTCTTCGGCTTTACCGCAAAGTCCCAGATCGGAGAAGCCCTCGCCGCTTCTCCATGAGCGCACTTAAAGTTCAGGTCTAGGCCGTCGGGTTCCAGGTCGTGCCAAGCACATGTAATCGTGCAGGTCGAAGCCCAATCAAAGTCATAGTCAGTTCGTATATCAGACTATAAGATAAGACCCTCAAAAGGCATGTCCTGCAGTAGACTCAGCCGCCCTCCACCTCAAAGAAACTCAAGCACCATGTGCGGCAAAGAGGCTGTTCTGCGTCTTCGTGCGGACTTGAGCGGTGAACTCTAGGAGCCTTGCACGTACTTTACTTAGACCTTGAGGTTCAGGGCTTCGGTTAAGGCTATCGGTGTTTGGGGGAGAGGACCAATTCTAAATTGAACCCAAGGCTGTAGGCTGTATCCTTCAGGCTGCATGCTCGTGAAGTCAGAAGATTCGACCACTTCCACCTTCCAAATGCCACAGGTCACCTATAGATGCCTAAAGGTAACTTGCTAATTCCTAAACCGACTAACGAAGTTGTTTCGGCATCGCAGCACTGCCCAAAAGTACTGCCGTTTTCATCATGTGCACATGACCTGCACAAGAAGTGGGGATTTGGCTTAGGTCCTCCTGGTCTCGAGAACACGCTTTCGAGGTTAGTTGAGGCTTCACTTAAGGGTTTGGAGTTTCGGGGCGTCTGCCCTGAAGCCTAATCTCGGCTCCGATCATAGAGCCGAGTTGCTAAGGGAACCCTTTAAGGTCAACTGGGGACCTAGTAGAGTTTGCATGCAGCCTTCTCAGAAGAGGTCTCTGAGCACCCCTGCTTAGTCTCGCCGGGCTGGGACACGCATTTGCCACTGGCCTGCAGGAGACCGACGACTTAAAGAGTGGGAATGTGTCAATAGGGCGTTCATGGAAGCTGTCATTGAGCTTTTCCCAGCGGCTTTCAAAGGGCTCAGAATATAATCCAAGAATGTGCCTCGAAATCACAAACCTCAGCAAGCCGCAACGGCTATGCCGTCAGAAAAAACCTTTGAAGGAAAATCATATCGCGAGAGAGGCTAGATGCCAGGGCGTCGGAAAGGCTGCCCTCGACCAAACCCCGCCTCGAAAAGACGAGCTCCCAATCCATTTGTCATGAGCAGAAAAAAATTCAAGCCCTTTTCTGTTTGGCGCTGGGGTTTGAGGTTGGGGTGGTCAGACAAAAAAGCTCATGCGTCAGAAACGCCAGTGCCGGACGGACAATGAAACGTTCAACAACTCGAGCTGTATCTTGTCTGCTCTTGCCTGCCAGAAACCCGGTGACCCGAAAACCCCAAGACTTAGGCCCAAAATAGACCACTAGCACACAGTACTAGACTCGCACGAGAACTCCACAGTCTTACTGCATGTTCGCCGGAAATCCCGTAACGATATCTCTACCGATAATGGAAGTGGCCTCATAATTTAACGCAAAGGCCTTGACCCGCTTGGGCCCGTAATACCACCCCGCACATAATCATGACATACTTTCCTTGGTTCTTTTTATGATGAAACCATTCACACGTCAAGAAGGAAACCCTACGGGTAAGGTGGCCTCCAGGGTCAAAGGCGCGTGGCCTTCCAGGATGCAGCGGATGTCCCGCGCCTGGGCCGAAGCACTTTAGGATGTGAACCTGTAATAAATAAAAAGGGATCAATTAAACAACAATAAAAAAGTGAATCTATAAGGCATGCTATGATCCTTTTCTACGACCTCTATAATTTCGCTGAACTTATAGGGCGTACTACAGTATGATGCTTTTCTACGACTTCTTTTAGCACAAGCACTAGGCTTCCAAGGGCCCGGGCCGTGATGCCAAGATCCTTGCTGTCCGACTTCCCACGCCTTCGGGCAAGGGGGGGTTCGAGGTTTAGGGTTTAGGGTTTAGGGTTTAATTGTCAAAATTGTGGTCCCGTTTGGGGTACCCTAAATAATGGGTGCGGTAAAATAATAAGGACCCAAAAAGGGACCATAGTTTTGACAACCACCCATGTATAACATAGAGGCCTTGACAACTAGAACAAAGGTTTTGGGCTCCTTTCTAGCATGAATGAAATAAGGAACCCAAAGGGATAGCATTGGTAATTATTGAGGGCCCTGTATTAAACTTTTGGGTGGTTCAGGGCGGGTGAGTGAACGAACCCCTGTTCTTCCAGCCAGCTCGCTTTGGTCCTGCTTGGGGCACTCGCTGTGGGGTTGGGGACTTCGGGCCTTCAAGGTATGTGTCATGGGATTGGGGTTTAGGGTTTAGGGTTTAGGGTTTAGGGTTTAGGGTTTAGGGTTTAGGGTTTAGGGTTTAGGGTTTAGGGTTGGATTGGGGTTCAAGGCTTCCTAGCTCAGACCTCAGGTCTTCAACTCTGAACCACCACGGTTCGTGGAGGGTGGCCCTGCCTGCATCTCCGAAGCCTCTGGCCCCTCAAAGCCTGACCTTCGACTAGTGACCCGAAACCCTCGGCCCCTTTCCTCTTGATTCACCGAACCTCGGTCGCATCAGCGACCTCAGAACAATAGATTAGAAAATCTAGATTGTGCCAACTCAAGTCGAATTATAACCCCAGCCCCAACTGTGACCTTTGTACCTACAATACCGAGTCAAACCTACCTGCAAGCATTCTAGGAAACAAGGCCACAAAAGATCCGAGTGCAAAACACCGCACAAACCGCAAAGCAAGCCACGTGAAAGTGTGAGGAACTCTGAGTTACAAGCAGCAATGTGGGTAGTTCTCTAACTTACGGTCCCTTTTAGGGTCCCTTTTATATAAGGGTGCCGTACTTTTTTTGGGAGACCTAAAAAGGGGCCCTAACTTAGAGAACTACCCGTGTATTGAATTCAATTCAAGGGCAAGGTCGACACGGCCTCGTCTTATCTCCTCGCTTGAATTCCTGAATCCGATCATGCCTCAGCTGGTCATCGGTTTAGGGTTTAGGGTTTTTCTGGAAAAAATGCACTAGGGTTTAGGGCGTAGGGTTCGGTTTGAGCTTTCCAAACTTTGCTTAAGGATGCTGAGAAGCCTGTATAAGGTTCTGTAATCAGAAGGCTGTAGAGTGTAAGCAAGTAAGGCAGTGCAACTATTCTGGAGGCACAAAGTTGTTCCAAAAGCAACATGCTTGGAATTAGTGGGTGTCCTGCATCCTGTGGCTTTGGAATATCTTATACGTCTGTGCTATCCTGAAGTTGCGACTGAAGCTAAGGCCTACCAAGCAATGCTATGCCCATCGGCTCCACTTCGTATTTTCAATGTCCCTCTGTTGCCGGCTGTTGTTCTTGGCCTTCCAGAAACGACTGTGGTAGCACAAGGTCAAGGACCGTGGTGTCAAGGACATGGTAGCTGATAATGATGGTAACGTAGGGGCCTAAATAATTATTACTATTTTGTTCCTTTTTATATTTATAGTATAAGTTTAAAGGGGCCCAAAACCCTATTCTAATTATTGAGGCCCCGATATCAGTGGTGACGATGCTGCTGCTGATGGGAACGACGGCGGCAGCGGTCACTGGCGTTGCTTGAACATTTGGATGTGGATGCCTTCGTACGTTCAAACTATGACTCTAGGCCCCCACACTACTATCCAAAAGACCCAAATCCTAGAACCCCGAAGCTCTAAAGCCCTGAAGGCCCAAACTCTCCAAATCCTCAAACCCTAAACCCTAAACCCGAAGTCTCTAAATCCTCAAACCCTAAAGAGCTGGAACCCAACTCCCGGCTTCTCCCTGGTCCCTGGGGGCACGGGCGTCGGATGAAAGGCCACGGTGAGCGGAATGTCTTCCTGGGGACCTCGGAGGGTATACGAGGCTACTAGCACGAGAAACTGTGAGGACTAGGCAACGTCTCCGCGCCCATACCTCCCCCGACCCACAACAAGGGCGTGGCGTACAAAGCCCTCCGATGGCGTGATGGAGAAGATCTTGGAATACTTGGCGCCGATCTGCGCAAGCAGCTTGGGAAACTAGACCCTCAGCACTCAGAAAAAGAACCCCCAACGAAACCCGACGCACTTAACCGACTTAGCTCCAACGAAACCAGAAACTTAAAGCTCGACACCAAGGACTACACAACAAATTCGGGCCTTGGTGTTGCAGTATAACTGCGACCATAACTTTTTCGGATGAGACATCAGACCCCCGTAACCTGAAACCCTAAAAACACCCTAAACCCTGAAAGCTGTGAAACACCGCCATACCCTAAACCCTAAGGCTCTAAACCCCTATATCTTTTAGGACTCTAAACTTCTAAACCTTTAACCCGACGCCCCCCAAATCCCAAACACTAAACCCAAAACCCTAAACCCAAAGCCCTAAACGCCATAAACCCTAAACCCCAAGCCCTAAACCCAAAGCCCTAACCAAAGCCCTAAACCTGAAGCCCTAAACCCTAAGCCCTAAACCCAAAGCCCAGAGCCCTAAACCCTGAACCCAAAGCCCTCAACCCTAAACCTCAAGACTCCCCCTGAGAGGCCTCGAAGCGGAACTTTGCTCCCAAGTCGCCAAAGTTGTGAAGCCGAACCGGCTTTGTCGCCTGTCGGTTTTGTCGGTCTAGGGTATAGGAAGTTTAGGGTTTATAAGGGGTTTATAGAAAAGGTTCAGCGTTTAGAGGTTTAGGGTTTGGGCAGCTTGGGGTTTGTAGAGGCTCTTGGGTTTAGGGGTTTTGGGTTCTAAGCCTTATAAAGCCGAAACCCGGGCTTGGGGCTTGCAAGGCTTGGGGGTGGGTTTTGAGGGGTTTAGAAGGGCTTAGTGTCTGGGGTCTCAGAGCCCAGGGTGTCCGTGTTAGGGCGGTTGCGGTTCAGGATTTACATTCACACCGAATGGCGTACCTTTTTGGGTTCCTTATTGTGGTTTTCTCCCTTTAAGTCCTTTGCTAGCGTTCAGGATTAGGGTTTTAGGATATTGAAGGTTCAGGGTTAGGGGTCTCAGGTTGTAGGCTTTCGATCGGCGTTCAAGGTTCAGGGGTGTTTAGAAGAGTTCATGAGGCTGCTCTGAAGTACTGCAGGATTTATGAATATCTTTTTCGGCTGTACATAGATGGCTTATTCATGAGATTCGTATAGAGATTACTGCGATAAGCTCAGGCACTGCAGCTTCTTCTTTGCAGGGCATAAGTAGGTCGCGGGAGTGGTCTATCGTCAGTTACAACCTACTCCAGACCCAAAAACGACACCGGACAAAAACCGAGGTTTAGGGTTTAGG